AACACACACACACACACACACGTGTCAAAACAGCGGTGCACACGAGGCCCGTACGAACCGGGTCAACGGTGTGCATGTGTTCCTCACGAATCTGCTGCGCAAACGCCGAATTCAACCAGCATCCAGCACCGTCAATACCGCCGTCGCCTCCCACACCGTCAGCGCCAGTGCCATCATGACCGTCACTGTCATGCCCGGCACCATATGCACCACCCTCTCCATCATCGCTGTGTTCCACTGTGCATGGGAAGGATGGATTACTCTCGCCCGTGATTTCCTCCAATCGCGCGTTGAAGTTCGCTGCCGTCACGCCTTCAAGGATCGGCTCAGGCTCCACAACCCTGTCTCCACCGCCATCATCACCATCATCATTGCAACGCTGCTGCTGCTGCTGCTGCTGCTGCTGCTGCCCGTGTGCGTGTGCGTGTGCATGTGTGTCGTGGCGGCCGCCCGTCATTGCAGATATGGTTGCGGGCGCGGTGGTCGTGCGCCGCATGCTCGCTGCCTGAGATGCAGGGGCGCTCGTTGCCGATCGTGGTGTCGCCGTTGAAGGGATCCAGTCCGGACGTATTCTCCACACGGACCGCCCGCTCTCGTCCCGCACAACGAGAACTGCTGAGTCAGCACCTTTCTTTGGCGCATGCACGGCCAGGATGGTGTGCATGCCAATGCTGAAGTACCGCAGGTCCGCTGCCAGTTGTATGTGTGTGTGGGGGGGGGATGTGTGGAAATGTGTGAAATTGTGTGATTGTATGTGATTGAAAATGATTGTGTATGTGATTGTATGTGTGTGATTGTGTATCATTGTGTGATTGTTTTTGGTTGTGTGATTGTCGACGATTGTATATGTGTGTGTGTGATTGTATATGGTTGTGTGATTGTATGTGTGTGTGATCGTATGTGTACACGCCATTGCACACAAGAAACCACCATGGCACAGACCTTTTGAGCCTTCTCGCCACGCGCGAAACTCTTCCTCCACCTTGAGCCCTGCACACACGTCGACGGTGTCCGTGAGTACGACGTATGAAGAGAGCACAGGCGATTGTGCAGCACTGCATCATGCATGTATGTGCACACACCACACCCACGCATGCATACGTGTGCACACTCACTTGCTCATGCACACGTACTCAACGCATCTCGCCCACAACAAGCGCGCAAGCTGCACAGTGACAATGTGACCTGGGTTGCGGCGGTGCTCCGGGCGCGTGTGTGTGCTGTGCAATTTCCGCAGCAGAAGACTCGCTGCCTCCTGCACGCGATACGACGGCGACGTCACGCCAAGCTCCCCTGCATTCCGTCGCATGTGTGTGTGTGTGTGTGTGTGTAAATGAAACTGCACAGCCTTGTGTCTTTGGCGCATCGAGCATGCTTTTGGTTTCATCGCACCTTCGCTGATCTGCCGCTTGCGTCGCGGTGGCGCTTTGCCGAGAATCCACCTGCTCTCCGCAGCAGACTGGAACCTGACGGTGGTGGCGGTGATGGTGGCGGTAATGATGGTGGCGTCGTCGTGATCATTGTGGTGGTCGTAAGGGTGAGGATGGGGTAAGGGCGGTGAAAACAAACCGTGTGGGGTGTGATCACCACCAACTCAGGCCAGTCCACATGGATTGCAAACGGCTGTGCAGGCTGCGCATGAATCAACTGACTGACTTGACAGAGTCCTGTGCGGATGTGCCAACAAGACCGCACATGATGACGCGGAGCACAGCAGCCAGAACACCGTGTGCACAGTCGTGGCACTGTCGTGCAGTGTTGTGAATGCACAGCACACAGCATATCGTGCGTGAGCGGGCGCGTTGACACGAGCATGACTGGGCATGCAACAAATCTAAACGACAACAACAACAATCGCAGGCAGCAAGCAGCAACTGCGTCACAAAGCGAGTGCTGCAACATCCATGGCGTGAGCAGCAGCAGGAAGACACGCGCTCAGAAGCGCGGCCGCACCCAATATGGAGTCATCCACGAGAGGAGGCAGTGGTAGCCGACAACGATGGAGGTGTGCAGGTGGCGCGTGTGCCGTTGCCGCGGTTGCCCGAGCTGAGGCCAAACCAAAGGCAGGAACAAGATGGACAAGAAGGACAAGAAGAAGGGGGTGAGGTGAGGCCAACGAACGATGAACCGTTGTTGAATGAAGATCGGCAAATCACAGTTCAGAGCAACCACAAACACAATATGCACACGTTTCCAACCCCCCACCACCACCACTTCTCTTTCAATTGCCAGACCTGCATCTCGATGAAAGTGCAGAGGCCCAGGATGAGCTGCGGGGCGGCGCGCGGGTCGGCCTCCATGACAATGTCGAAGAGACGCGAGAAGCCGCGTATTGTCTCCAGCGCGGTCATCTGCACATTCAGCGACCACGGCCGTCTGTGACAACAGCGACGGTGATGGTGGAGTTGGGTGAGTGAGTGAGTGAGTGTGTGTGTGTGTGTGTGTGTGTGTGTGTGTGTGTGTGTGTGTGTGTGTGTGTGTGTGTGTGTATGTGTGTGCGAGGGTGACTGGTAGGGTGAGGGTGACTGGTAGGGTGAGGGTGACTGGTAGGGGAACGGCTGTGCAGAGGGTGTGTGTGAGACACCCATGACGAGCGCGTGTCACTCCGTGCACGAGTAAGACGAGGCAACGTGCTGGTGGTGAGTTGAACGCACTCGCAGAGGCCCGTGATGAGGACCCGCAGCGTGGAGACGATAAGCAGTGGCGGCAGCGGTTTCTTGGACCGCACGTCCGTTGCAGACTGCTGCTGCTGCTGCTGTTGTTGTTGTTGTTGTTGTTGTTGTTGTTGTTGTTGTTGTTGTTGTTGTTGTTGTTGTTGTTGTTGTTGTTGTTGTTGTTGTTGTTGTTGTTGTTGTTGTTGTTGTTGTTGTTGTTGTTGTGTATATGTCAGCGGCGACTGCGGGCGCTGCGAGAGCGAGTTGGTTGCGCGCGTGCATGCGCGCTTCGTTTCGTCGTCCAAGATGACGGTGTAAATCGTGTTCATGATAATCTGTCGCAGTAAATCATGACAGCATGTTGCATCGGCGTCAGCTTGTGTTTGTTATTCGAGTTTGCTCTCGTGTGTGTGTGTGTGTGTGTGTGTGTGAAGGTTCTCGTGTGGTGTTGGGTGTCAATTTGTCGTTGCTCTCAGTGCCACCACTGCTGAGAATGCGCAAGCCCGCCACACCACACCACACCACACACACACACATAACCAAGCAAAAGTCACCTGCAAGATGACGTCGTCGTCCTCCTTCATGATTGCCTGCAGGCAAATGCTTCCAAAGCGGCGCGTGAGGGAGCTAAAGTACGGCGCATCAATCTCCGTAGACCACTCTTGTCCCTGTTGTCCCCCTCCACTGCCACTCATGGCTGGCCTTTCTCTCTGGGGCGCTGCCTTGTCTGTCATTGCCGTGTCGCCTTCGCCACCGCGTGTACCCTTTACACGATCCGCGTTGTTGTTCTTCGATACTGCCGCTGCTGCTTCTCCTACGAGGGCTGTTGTGTTGGTATCGAGTGAGACTGCCAGCCCGCTCGTTGGCACGTGTCCGAGGTGGTTTGGATAGCACGCCAGGGTTTGCAGGATGGTGGCCGCGGCGAACCGGACCGCGCGTCCAGCAGCCACCTCCCCCGTCAACACGTGCTTGGCCACGGCGGCAAACGGGAGCATGGCCACCAGCAGCTGCGGCTGGAGCTGCACCGCGTTTGTAAAGAGGCCGCTGCCACGCCCCAAAATGTACTGCGTCAGCACGCTGTTGCGCAATCCCAGCGTGACGAGGCCGACAAACGCGTGTGCATACTGAGGGGCGGGCGGGATGGACTGGTGGGAGGTGTAGATGGCCACAAGTGCGCCTGTTGCGCTGGCGCGCGCCTGCAGGAACTCTGGTCCCGTGTCCGGGGACGCTGCGGCGAAGAGCCAGTGGCCAAAGAGGGCGAGCATGCTGTTGATGGTTGGCGGCGGGTGGTGCTGGCCCACGTCCACAAAAACGTTGACCATGGAGGCCACGTTGTCGACAAACTCGATAAAAGCGTCTGGCGGGAATTGGCGCGGGTTGAGGGCGCGGTGGTCGGCGATGAGATGCAGCATGGCGCTCCAGCACTGCGACAGCACCTCAGGCCGCATCGTCTCAACAGCTGCCTCAAACGCCTTGTGTGTGAAATGTGTTGAGTGTGTGTGAAATGTGTTGGGTGGGTGTGTGTTGGGCGCGTGCGTGTGTGTGTGTGTGTGTGTGTGTGTGTGTGTGTGTGTGTGTGTGTGTGTGTGTGTGTGTGTGTGTGTGTGTGTGTGTGTGTGTGTGTTGTGTGTGCGTGTGCGTGTAAATGTGTAAGGCAACGAAAGGGCGTCCTGAGAGTTTGCATTGATCCATAACACAACAAGTAGATGACAGAATCGCTCCCAACAGATACAAAGGGCACTTGCAATCTGCCAAGTGTCACACACGACTAACATCTGTTTCTTGCGATTGAGATTTGCTGCGGGCGGAATCACGGGATCCGTACAGCACATCCACCTGCACACACACACACACATACACACACACATACATACATACATACATACATACATACATACATACATACATACATACATACATACATACATACATACATACATACATACATACATACATACATACATACATACATACATACATACATACATACATACACGGGCAGGCACATATTTGGCACAGGTGAGGAAGTTGATTGGTAGAGCGAAGCTACACACGCACAAGCAAAATGGGCTACCAACACCAGCACCACGATGTGTTGATGCTGCCTCACCAAGCGCTGTGCGAGTCTTCTGGTGACGAGGCCCCACCACGTCGCTGCTTTCGCCCACGACCGCCACGCTGTCAACACAAAGAAACACACGCACGCACCCACGAGATTGCATCAGCACGCGGCAGCATACACATCACAGAGACCAATGGGGGACGTGTCAGCCGCGAGCTGGCTCGCTGGTTTCATTGCTTGGTGTGAGGAGTGCTGGTTAACATTTGTGGGGTGAAGGTACATACATCGAAAGCTGGTGGTGAATTCGGCCCAGAGTCGCTGGCTGGGATACTGCCTCGCACACACCTGAGCAGACACGAAGACAAGCAAGCAAAGAACAATTGAGATTGAAACCGAAAAGGCAGGCTCACAGTGCGCGCGAGGGTACCAGCAGATGGAGCACAAAACAAGCACGTACACGCACACACAGAGGAGCGCGCACAAACAAGTCCAAGCAGTGACACACACGCACACACGCACACACGCACACACGCACACACGCACACACGCACACACGCACACACGCACGCACACAATAGCGCGAACACAATCGCGAACACGCACATACAGACAAACGCACGCACATACAGACAAACGCACGCACACACACACGCACATACGCAGCAGACCTTGACCCAGGCGCGAAGGAGCGTTGGGAGAAGATGATCGCACACGCGCAGGGCAAGCTGAAGTGCTGCTGGGGACAACATGAGGTCATTGGCGATGGATAGGAAGCCCCTGTTTCATTCAAAGCATTGGTCGTCACATCAGAAAGGGGGGGACAAGGATGAGGCAGGAGGACCAATTGAGGAAGAAGCAACGTCGCGTACACCTCCATCACCGCGTGCGGATACACGTGCGCACACCTAAGGGCGACGACGACCGTCTCTGGATCATCGCAGATGGTCACCAGCTGATCAAGTGCATTGAACACCCTGCAAGCAGGACGGGCAGGGGGAAGCCAGGTGTGTAGGAGTGTAGGAGTGAGCGCGTGCACTCGCAATCAAGTGGAAGCCTTCAGATTGACACAATGCACACATTGTGTGCAGACGCAACATACACGTGCACACACCCGTACACAAATGCACATACGCAAGCCAACGCACACACACACACACACACATGCACATTACGCATGTCCATACAATGCACATGCATTCACAATGCACAAGAATGTTTTACTCCACACACGCAAATGCTCATGCGACAAACGCACTTCCTGCAGTGTGGGGCATCTGGACGGCGATGATTGTCGCTGAAGAGGGCAACGATGTGTGTGATGATGGTGGGGAGAAGCTTTCGCGGGCGGTTGTGGATCACCTTGGGGCAGGCGGGCCCCAACGCCAGCCATGAGGTGAGCACATCCAACGCACCGTACACAATGTCACCAAGATACATCTGGGGCGCCTGGGCACTCTGTGTCAGCTGTTCAAGAGCGGAAGGGCTTCTGGGCTGGCTGGCGTCTGCGGGTCTGCTATGGGCTGCGCGGTTTGCGACCGAGGTGGTGGCGCGCCGCGAGACAGCGCCCTGCGCCTGCGCCGGGGATGTGGCTTGGATGAACTGCTGCTTCGCCACGTGCGCCTGCGGCGTCGTTTCACCGCCCTGGATGGTGGCCTCCTCCTCAGGAAGGCTGGTTGCGGCCAGTAGCACATGCATGGTCCACTCCACCGTCTCTGCGGTCATGCGCTGCGTGTCTGTTGCTGGCAGCGATCCAACCACATGTCGCGCAATGGCAGACACCGTCGCCGGTGGAAACGATGCCAACGCCACGGGCATCGTGTGTGTGTGTGTGTGTGTGTGTGTGTGTGTGTGTGTGTGTGTGTGTGTGTGTGTGTGTGTGTGTGTGTGTGTGTGTGTGTGTGTGTGTGTGTGTGTGTGTGTATGTGTGTGTGTGTGTGTGTGTGTGTGTGTGTGTGTATGTGTGTGTGGGAGGGGAGGGGGTGTTGTAGGCTTGCAACTGTGTGTGTGTGTGTGTGTGTGTGTGTGTGTGTGTGTGTGTGTGTGTGTGTGGGTGTGTGGTTGCCGGATGTCTGGGGCTGCTGGCGACGTGGGCTGTGACGTTCCAAACCAAGCAAAAGAGCGAGTTGGAGGGGTTGGAAGTCGACCAACCAAAGAAGCAAGCAAGCAGCACCGTCCTTCCTGTTTCGAGGCGGTTGTGGAAATATCTTGGGCATCTTTGGGCATTATTCGACGACCGTTTCCCAGCAGCCCGACAACAACGACGCCACACAACAGCCAACAAACAGACAACGTGGGCGTGTGGTGTGTGCGTCAAGGCATCGAACGCACGACTCGGATGCAGCAGCCGCAGCAGCAGGAAGGGGAGGTGGCATCCCTTCAAGCGACGCTGACTGAACGACACAATGCCGCCGTCGAGCAACTCCAGGCGACGAGGCCACGGCGGACTCGCCCGCACACCACGACGACTGACCTCGAAGATGATGATGATGATGATGATGGCAACGATGATGGCGACGACGACCACAACGACGATGGTGCACGGCGCACGTCACCG